GCCGTCATGGGTATCATATGTGAATTGGGTTGCACGCCGAAATAGCGTGATGTTGAACACAGTTCCCTATACCTATTCATATGTGTTTTGTCCGCATTTTCTGAGAAAGATTTATGACATCTTTTCAGTTGTTAAATTAGTTACGCGGGTTGAGTAGATCTTTCCAGAGTTCATTTTTACTTATGTATCACATTCGAGTTTGTAGCCAATTGGCGTATTGTTGGCGTCATACAAGATCTTGGTCAGTGTTTGAGGTAGCTTATTGCATGTGTAGCTTATACTGGGTGAGACGAGACTACTGGACCTGAAATCAGTGCAATCAGATTTATATAAGGTATATTAAAGAACAAATATCGCTATTTAGTTCAAAATGATGTAATGGTCCTTGTCAGGAGGAGAGACTCCATGATTTGTTAATTCAGCAATTGGTTATGAATTTCTACACATCTCTTCCGTCGTGGCAACATTTCAAGAATTGGAGCATGACTTATATGTGTCATGAGGTGTGTTGTGGGCATCGAATTTGTGGAATTTCGGCTATTGTTATCAGAGGATGTTTATTATGGTTATGTGAATTATGCGGTGCATGATTTGGATTTAGCAAAAGTATACAACCATGTATTGATGCATCATGTAGTGATTGATACGGTGTTTGGATGATGGAAACAGGCCTGGCGGAGAATTCCAGATGTTGGAATTGGGCTCTAAGGCTTATTTGACTAAGAAAAAAAAGGAGAATCTTGAGACTGACTCGAGCTAGTGAGCTCAATTAAGTTATGGTAGCACGGGTAGGTGCACAATGTGTTAAATAATGATTTCAGACAACTCCAGAGCATTTTTTAGTAAATTCAAGGACGAATGTATGTTTAAGTGGGAGAGAATGTAACGACCCGACCGGCCGTTTTGAGCCCTAGCGCGTCGTTCGGCAGTAGAGGCCCTGAGCAGCTTCACTTCGGGTATTATGACTTGTACGCATGGTCAGAATTTAATTTCGGAAAGNTATATATATATAAGGAGTTATATGGTGGAAAACCTATTAAATAAAAGATCTTCGAGGTACAACCTGCACAGCGCAAGGTACAACTCACTGAAGCACTTGTGCCTATATAAGGCAGTCACGGGCATCAGCCATTTTGGGGGATTTTCTTGAGCTAGGGATTGGTTCTTTCATGGTGGATTCGGCCTTGGGGACTACTTAAGAATACGAGGTGAGTTTTTTTTGGATATTTTAAGTTAATAACATCCTATTAACACTAGTATTAGCATCCTTCAATCTTTGAAATCCCTATAAATCTTTCAAGTTGTTCAAGAACACCAAATTTCTCAAACATTGAAATTTTAAGGAAAAGCTTCAAGAAGGTAATACTAATGCTCCAAGCTCATTTCTTATGAGTTGGTGAGAGTAGTTCTAATATTTATTTCAAGTTGTTATGGTTGGATAATTGATTTCATAAATCCTAATTCATGGCATGAATAGTGTTCTTGAAAAAATGAAGGAAAGATAAATAGTGTTCTTAGAAATGAAATTAAAGGATGTAATGAACCTATGGAATCATTTTCTAGCTTAGTTGGAAGTGTTCAACAAAGTAATCACCAAATTGAATATTTTGGAAATGTTAGTTAAGGAAGACGATGAATAGTAATTTGGCAGTGTTGGAGAATTAATGTAGTATCATTGATGACTTCAAATGAGTATTAAATGATAAGAGTGGAATTGAATGTCCTAGTAAGTGAACCTATTAGACGATTTGAGCTAGAGGCTTGTAGCCGACTTGTGAGCCATAAATGGATATTGATAATTATTTTTGAGTCATATTTTAATTGTAGTTGGGATTGTAATTGTAGATATCAATTTGTTGGTGGCGTATGAACATTTTACTCAATGTTACGATATCGGAGGAAGATTAAAAGCTTATGAATGTTAATAAAGCGAAAGCGAGTTTTGGAGCATTGGGCATCGGTCGAGTTGTTTGAAAGGCTTGGGAGCCGGCTATGGAACTTTGGAGCGAGGTAAGTCTCATGTCTAACCTTGTAAGAGGGAATTTACCCCTGGGTGATTTAAATTAATAATTGTTGCTAATTGTGGGGGCTACGTACGCACGAGGTGACGAGAGTCCGTGCGTAGCTACTAATATTGCTAAGTTCGGGTAGTTTAGGACTCAAATCATGAATTACTTGTGATAATTGCATCTTTCAGTTAATTGAAATATTGGAATTTTTGTTGTAAATTGTTAGAGGAAATAATAAGAGATTGAAATTTCACATACTTGAATTTTTACTCAAATTATTTAACTATTGCTATAAACTGTACATCCTGGTGTGTAAATCTTAATAAATATAAATATATTCTCATTCCGGAGGTACATAAGAAAATGTCCTCCTTTCTTGTGGAGCGGGCCGAACGCCCGGCAGTATAGATGTATCTATGGATCGCGTCGCACGTCCTTCGGTAGTGTACATGATACTCTGGATCGGACCGAACGATCTCGGCAGACATCGTGCCTAATAATAATAATTACACGATACTTTGCTATTTATTGCAGTTGTGAAATTAATTAATAAATTGAAAATGATCGCATTTGAAGGAATTTAATTATTTCTGCTGGTTAAAGAAAATTATTGTTAATCCTATAAATCATGTTGATTTAATATTTCTATTTTTAATATTATTGACCCTTAATGAGTGTCAAAGTCGACCTCTCGTCACTACTTCTTCGAGATTAGGTTTGATACTTACTGGGTACACTTATTTACGTACTCATGCTACACTTATTGCACATTTTTGTGCAGGTACGTATATGTCTAGCGGCCTTGTGGGCGTAGAAGTGTGGTTAATGCGGAGACTTAGGTGAGCTGCATTCTATATTACGATCCGCAACCAATAGAGTCTCCTTCAGAGTTATTTATATTTTTCCTGTCTAATTTGTATTTCGGACATTTGTTGTATTTTATTTTATATTCTTAGTAAATGCTTATACACTTGTGACACCGGGGTTTGGGAGGATTATGGGTTGTTTTGTATTGAATTTGTTAAAAGTATTATTATTTACTCTGTAAATCCCCATTCTTTACTATGTATATTAAAGGAAAATATGATTTCAAAAGTAATAAAAATGAGAACCCAATTTAGCAGTGGTGTCCGGCGCCATCACGACCTTAATGGATTTTGGGTCGTGACAAGATAATTCTTGTTTGAAGCCACTACTTTAATTGGTTAACTACACTAATCGAAAGAGGTGTTACTAGTCAATTATTTTTAATGTCACTAACTGTCAATAAATTAATAATACTAAGCGCGAGCGGTGCTATTTACATATTGTTGTTAGGTGGAGTGATTTTCTAGAAATAAGTGATCATTCTTTAAACAATGTCTCTGTTTCATTGTTAATCGATTGACTACACTATTCGAAAAAGGTGTTATTAATTGGTTACTTTTATGGGATTTGGTTGAATTAGAAATAAGCAATCATTTAATTAAACAGAGAAATAAGTAGTAAAAGTTTGATTTTATTATAATACTTTTATCTTGTTGAATCACAATATCCCAACATCTATTTTTTATTATAAAAAACTATAAATATTTATTGCTTTTATTTTACTATTTTTTCAACAACTCTCTCTTTACCAAATTGATTCTCTCAAATAGTGATAGACAATACAAATCTGTAACCTAGGTGATTTCAATCTTTGTGGGACGATATCTTAAACTTTACTATAATTTGACAGATTACGAACAAAAAAATCATACACGCCCAGAGCTCGTCAATATTCTAGCAAAGGCCAATGTCCTTCACCTTCTCCTCGACATAATTATGTCCCCAATTCTGCTAAACCTAAATTCCTTCAGTAGACATTTCACCAAACTTTTTTTCAATCATCCAAATGAAACAAACTTAATAAACGTTAAGAGAAAAAGAAGATAGAGATTTAGTATGTGTACGTAGGCACCATAGCGAGCCAAAAGCTGATTGAAAAGCAAAAAAATGGCTTTATGAGATGCCTTCCCTTTTGGGTTTTTACTGGTGGATCCTCTCTAAACTATATTTAAAAAAACAGACACCACTTTCCGTGAAGGAGTCTTATTGGAAAAGGAGCGAAGATAAAATTAGAAACTGATGTAACTAAATTCTTTAATTTAAGGTACTAATAATGGATTATATATATTTTGTAAGTAATTCTTGTTTAGGGCGGGTAATATTATATTTCAAAAATATAAAAAGGAAAAAATTCCTCCCCTTTGTCTATTTTAATGAAAGTCTGAATCTTAATCATTCATAATTTAATTATTTTTTGGCTGAATTTTAATTATTAAGTATATTTATTTTTCTTATTTTATAATCACTTAACCAGACTCTATTATAGTATCTTTTTTAGTTTCTTCCGCTAATTAAAAAAATGTCTCTGAATACTTTTCAATTTTTGCAAAAGCAAAAAGTTTTTTTTTTTCTAAACATGTCCAAAAAGGTTATCAACTATTTGTTTATACATAAGGATTTACATATTATCATTCATGGCAGAACAACAAATAATGTATACTTTACTCCAATTTATGTGACATTATTTGAATCGATATAACGTATACGAAAGAAATGAAAACTTTAAAAACTTGTGATTGTAAAGATGTCATATGTATTTACGTGACCATAAAAATTCTTACTAAAGATAAAAATAAAAAATAAAAAATTAATTCCTTCTATTATAATATTATTATTATTTTAAAACGTACTAATAAGAAAATTATATTACATAAACTACGTAGATATGTTAATTATTTTTAATAATTTTAGCTTTTCAATTTTTATAAAAGATAGAAATACTTTTTCCTAGACATGCTGGAAAAAGTTTTCAATTTTTTTTAGTACATGACCATTACATATTATTATTCACTTCGAAACAAGGTGTAATATATACTCCATTATTTATTGTACATAATTTATTTATTATAAAAACTAAAAACCTATTAACCCATTGAAAAAGCTCTGCCATATATAATGTATCGCTCAAATATCCACCCCAAAAATTCGAACCCCTAACCCTCCTCCTCTCTCCCTTCTCCTCAAACCTAATGTCTTCCAAAAAAGGCGGACTATCACTACCCGACCGCGCCGGCGCCGGTGCCGGCGACGGAATCCTCTCTAGGGTTTCATCATCCATATCTCAATCTCCGATCGTGTACCAAGGCAAGCGAGCCGCATCCGACGCCGCCTTAATCGCCAAAAAGCTTCTCAAGAGCACCGGAAAAGCCGCGTGGATCGCCGGAACTACTTTTCTGATACTCGTAGTTCCGCTCATTATCGAGATGGATCGCGATGCGCAGCTCACTGAGCTCGAGCTGCAACAAGCTAGCTTGTTGGGTACACCTCCTCCGCCTTCTGCTGCTGGAGGTCCAAA